AAGAAGGATAAAAAACGCAAGTCAACTTTGATACTGCGGTACTTAAGATGAAAGTATAAAATAGGCCGAGAATTCAATAAACGGGCATATCCAAATGCAATGTAAACCACGCACCAAGCGTGATCGTCCTTTCTCTTGAAGGAATAAGATGCTCTGAATTTGGACGCGGCGCATACACCGGCAATTTTTAATAGGGCATATACAGCCGTTTGAACTGCACTTCAGAAGAAGGAGACTTCGAAACTGTTCTCTCAAATGGAAAGCTGTCTGCATAGCTACAAATGTTAAAAAACAAGTTTTTCATACATTTTTGAAATTTTTCACCATTAAAAATTTATCCTTTGACAAATCCGGACATGATAACTGCCAAGGTCTTTTTATTTCAACGCAATTTTTACCCCCAAAAGAACATATAGAAAGCAAGCTGCAATATGCTGGCATTTCTTTGGATATATCTAGTTACAGATGTAAGCATGTAATTTAAATGCAATTAAAAATTAAACATCACCCAACAAAAAATTTTGAACTGTTCTAAAAGGTAGTCGGGAGCATTTTAAAGTTTTTATGCACTCATGTAGGTTTGTTTTTTTGCTTGATGAAACTTCACAAATGGCATCTTACAGATATTGTGCTACTTAAATTTGTGAGAGATCTTATAGTAATCTTGATATGCGGCTTTCAAAAGTCATCTGGCGTTTGAGAGTACAGGATTACTGCTGAAAATTGGCCTGTCGAACACTGCCCCGATAGTATCCGAATAACATAGTTCAACCTGTTTTGTTGGATATGTTTGCGAATCTGTGACACAGGAATCCTAGTAGGTGCATGACAGAAAAAAGGAGTGTGGTCAATCGGATTTCAGAGTGTAGTAAAACAGTCCACTTGATAATTGGTGTGAAACATAACTGTGCTATCTTGTGGTATGCTAAAATACGGACTAATGGTTTCGATTTGCTTGAATGAACAACTAAAAGTCCACATTTTCAACAAACTAAGTTTATGTATTTGAAAATAATGAAGATATTGAAAACGCCCCGACGTCAAATCTTTTATTTTGAGAAAGCTCCCTGCAGTTAGCTTTGACTGAGTTACTAATTGTTTTGTTTTGTGGCATGATATTTTGTGTAATCGTAGGCTAATGAGCTATCAGTGTAACGATTTAGGCTACCGATGAAGCATGCGAATTTCTTCCAATCTAGTGCCCAACCTCTACCCACGCATCTGTCGGTTGCTACGGAAATTATGGTACTGTTTTACAATATTCATCCACTATTGTTTAACATTCAAAGTTCAAAATAACGAGAACGTTTGTCTACCAAAACTCTGTGCGGATGATATATTTATTTTTGCTCCTAACGGCATATTTCATGTTTGTCGCCAAACGGTCTCATTGTTTCAAAGGCATCAATTTTAGTAGTTGTGAATGTTCTCTGCCTGATACACAGCGTCGTGGGTATCATCCAGAATGTCGAAAAATAAGTGTATTCCAAAAAGTGGAATTTCTACGAAAATCCCGCTCGGATGTGACTTGTAGGTCAAAATGGATAGGATCTATCAGTATAAAATAATACTTTTTAGTTAAAATCCCCCACCCACTAACTTTTGTTTGCTCACACACACACAAACACACAAGCCAACATCTGACTAGGTAGGATAAAAAAGCCTTCAAGTGTTGTCTATCAGGATACCTACCAGACTTGGAAGGCAAAATAATTCCCTTAAACTTTGACAAGACAAACGTTTATCTGCACTTCAAAAATATCCATCAATTAAAAAGCAACGTCCAGACAAAATGCATATAAAGTGAGACATTTGGCCAATTCCTCTGTGCATGTTTTTAATGCAGTTTTTCTATGCTGTAGTACGAGCGTTTCATTAATTATTTGATGGAAATAATAAGTGATATCTGTTCTTTTCTTCGAAACGCTCGTATCAAATACATAACCAAGTGGCTTGTGTTAAGTTAATCATAAGATAACGTCCAAAGCGTTTTAGGTGTACCTGTTTGGAAATACCTAGAAACATTTGTTGATGATAAAGAGTGTCTTTCTCATTAAAAGGGCAGTGTTTAGTGGCTCCGTTTTTTTGCGAGTCAAAATTGACTGTATAACGGGCGAGCGCTAGGGTATGTATGTTGCCCCAGTGTTTTTACTCTTCAAAAAAGCATATAAACTTACCAAAATTTAAGTGATTGAATATGTGGCTCCTTACTACACCGTTTTTCACGGTGTTGTGATTAACCTGCAAACTAATTAAGCAGATGAAAGGAATTACATCTCCCATATGTAAAACACGCGCTTTTGTTTTGGAAGTTTTCAAACAGTAGTCTATTGCAAATATCATATCATAGCAGCCATTGTTTCCTTCCAAATAATGATTCCCGAATAGCGAAATGTTGTTTTGAGCATCTACACCCTCAATCCAAGGTGTTAAATAGTTCTTCAAAAGTATTGAACAGCGCATTTAAAACTGCGTTAATTTCAGTGGTTAAAACTATAAGTTTGTAAATAAATTTAAGGCTAACAGTAGTCTTACTTCAAATGTTTGTTTATGATATTCTTTGATCAAGTTTGCTGTCCACAGGCTACTTCACAATTTATCCGGAGGAATATCCGAGAAATCAAGTTATTTTTTGTTCTTGTGAGATTTTTTTCTATCTATTGGTTTTGATTAAAAAGTAAGCCTCTGTGAGTAGTGGTCTATCAAAGAGAATGGATACCTTTTAATCAATAATTCCGCCACCCTGCCTCTAGGTTCATTCTATATGCTGAACTAAATACGTACAGAAGTGCTTATATGCTAGGCTTAGTCTGGTTTGATGCTCGAACACTGCTTACACGTTAATTAGGACGGAGGTGCCGGCCAAGTAATTTGGTTAGTGGACAAAGATATTTTGATATTGAGAAACTAACTTGTACATTATCACTGCTAAAGGTTTAGCGGGTATTCTCGTCCAACTATTTTTATCAAGTTCGTACTCCAAGGATGGATAGCCAAGGCACGAGCTGCAACCGTACTCACCGATAAGACACTGTGTCATGCATAGCACACCTTACGTAACCAAATGCGGGTGATGGTTCATGAATATGCAACGCTGGGATGGGAAGTTGCCGTTCCACATAAAAGATAATGGATTGCGACGGAGCGTTGGTGAGAAGTCGATGTCAATTTGCCCATTGCCATGGCATGCTACTTCGAGTAGCTCTTGGATCACAACAGACATTTTTGGGTTGAATGACAACTGCGTTCATTCCTAACAGTAAACCGTGTTGAAAAATTCCGGGGTATATCCATGTGAATAACTCATTTTTATATTTAACACTTTGCACAGAAGGTTGTTGGTCCCAGGGAACAAAGGCTAGGATACTGAGATTGCGTAAGAATAGCGCTTTATAATTAACAGGTCATTAATAGTGATTGAAACCATGCAGAGCTGGATTCCACCAAAGTCCTTTATGAAACGAGTGCTTGAGGGCCCGGCACAAAATGCCTTTATCAATCAGGTGTATCTGACATCAGCCTGAAGCCACTATTTGAAAACATTTTCAATCTACAGAAGTCCTAGCTGTGCGTGGCCAATTAACGAGCGGTAACAATGTTGTGCAACCTACCTGATGGAGACTACCAGCAAGGTCGACTTTTTGCCTTGTGAACGTCCATGACAAGTGACCGTTCGGAGGAACCTTTTACTTTCTGATTCATGAGTGGTTAGCGTTTTCCCTTCACTGTATCTACTTTTGTGACACATGGCTGACGATAAGTCACTTGACTCTATGCGGTCTTTTAAACTCTGCCGGTACATTAGCTCTGGCTCAATATAGTGTATTTAGAGCGCGTTGTGTTACGTACATAGTCGACGCAGATTACATGCTCCAAAGCATCGATTTCAACGCTTTTGTCATATTTATTACGCGGCTACCAGAAATGTTAAGGGACCTGAAAATTATGCATAAAGCGTTTCAGAATAATGCATGATTCAGCACCACCTAAATTCATTAGTTTGTTCTATATGTTGAATACGCAGTAACCTGTCCAAGCCGTTTAAACGTGTTTGAATTCTTCCATGCTGAATAAAGCTCTGCGTCGTTTGAACTTGTTATTTGTCAATAATTGTTTTTTCTTTAAATACACTTGCAGCTGCGCATTTGAAATAATAATAATTTGTAAATTTAGAAATTTTTTTAAAAAACGAACCTTCATTTTGTGACTTCTCTTTCAAAAAAGTCTTTAGCAATCAAAGGATTTTTGGCAAAAGTATAAGTGATGAGTTCACGTAAATCTCGCTTGGTACGTGATTTTTGGTCTGAGTGTTATTTAAACCACTGGCTTTGACCATTTTTAATAACGTTAGAGGCTTTTAGAGTTGTAAGTGATTTTTATGCTGTCAGCATGCACTTACCAACCCAGGATAGCTAAAAGGAACTACGGATTTCTGATCAAAATTTGTAAAATAAAAAATCCATTGGACAGCAGCTGCATCTGATGCATCAGGCTTCGCATAATTTTGGAATGTTGTATTCAACTTTGACGTTGTTTCAGATCTATTGATTTTGTTGCTTCCATTGGCTTCAACATAAACGTTTTTGAGGTAATATCTTTTTATGTATTTACCTACATGTTCAATAAAAACGTCTGAGTTTACTTACCATCCGGTTTACTAATAGTTTGATCGTAACCATTTTTAAAGTGTTTCCTATTAGGACCAAAATCTTCCTGCTAGCTGGTTAGATTAAAAATAGGGATATGCTAATAAAAGAGGTGTGTTATAAATGGTTGGCTGAGAAATCTTGCCACTTTCCTTATGCTTAGTCAGATGTTTTATCTGGTGCTGTCTCAACTTCCTCCACCTTATAACTCTTATATTAAATGCATCGGACGTCCGCTGGTCCTCTTGTTGCTGCTAAGTTGGCTTGAATATGAAAGATGAATGCAAGCGCTTCAATGTATTGCTAACTTTGGAGAAAGTAAATGAATTAATATTTTATTACTTTTTCACTTACCTTACAAGGCCTTCCTTGCGCTGTTTATCAAATCGGTAACGCAGGAAATGGTTGAGATTCCCTGATACACAATTACGACATTGAATTTAATCTATTTGCTGACGGGACTGACTTTCGTTGGTAATGAGTTCCGTGTCTATTAAAACCTTTTTCTGCGAAATCATCTCGCTTGTTTCAGAAATCCGTCACAAAAGTGTTTTGCTTAGTCCTTTCAAATGACGTATGCTGAAGCCGTCGTTAATATAAGCATTTAGGACTACTCAGTTACCTGCATCAAAGCAGTTCCATACGCCCAAGACAACATTTAGCGCACAGAAGCATTCAGATTATATTTATCTCTAACCACACCTGGATAGCTGAACTCAGGGAGGTAATCTCTCCATAAGTTGCATCAAATAATGCCTTACCTGATGACAGTTGAAGAAGACTACAATTTTCCAGCATGACCATCTCGAATAAGCGACAGTTTGTATTTATTTAGTATTCAAGGTTTAACTGCAATATACTGAAAAGACTGATTACATCCAAAGGATAGCCTCTGCCTAAAATGGTAGACAGCTTATGAATTTATACGCCTGTGGTTGTATCTGATCGCTGTCATAGCAGAATTTCTAAAAATTTCAATCTAAATAGTTCGAAAATCAATCGATCATGCTGAATAATATGTAATGCGCTGGTGCATTCGGACACACACATACCCAAAATCACTTTCCACTGTGTAGCTCAGATGGCGAGCATTACTGTTTTAGTAGTCAGAAACCTGTACAACCGATTTTATAATCTGCCGAGAGAGGTGATTTCAAGTTTTTTAATTTGTATAACAAAGAGACTGTCTCAACTTAGCCGTACTCAATAAAGTTTAGGAATTCAAAACGGGTGGAGAGCAGACACAGGAGAAAACGGAGGAATCCGATCAAATAAGAAGGTCAAACTAGGGTATCCCGAACGATTTCTGTCACTGCACCCTTACAAATTGATTTCAGCAATCTGTTGAACCACGTCGAGTTACGCGCAAAACCCCAAAAGCCAATTCTTTCAAATGGAGGTTTATCTACAAATGCGGTACTATAAGTACAATAATAAAATGATAAAGCTTTACAAACCTCAAATCGTGGGACTATGCCGGCTTTTATACACCGGTTTAGGAACTGCTAATTCCTAACGGGTCTCAAAGTCCACGCCGACTCGGAGCCACGTGTTTACAAGCTAGCGAAACCACGTGTGAACTTAAACGGCACGTCCGATGACAAGGTCAAAGAACGGTTTATGTTCAGGTAAAAAAACAACAAGGGTGGTATAGGCATAGACCAAAATAACAAAAAAGGGGGAATCGAGGTGTACAACATAAAAAATAGAAGAAAAAAAATCAACAACCCTTGAGTTTACACTCTAATTTTGGAAGGTCAATCAAGGCACCGTCAGTAACCAAAGGGATGTTACGAATAGTTTGTCACGGAATTTGTTACGTCATTCGTTCGATTAAGCATATATCAGCTTGAACATTTAGCTAACATTGCTCTATTCAACGAAGCTTTCTCTGAATAGGGAGGGTCATCTCGAACGCAGCCCGTAAATCTCACATAATTTTTCTATAAATCAAGCCGAAAACTAACTTTTTCCATATGCTAGGTATTTATATACCTTAAAAGATCCCTGCATTGTTAACGGAAGTGCAGTCTCAGGAAGTATGCTTACAACCGCGCTACGGACATTACTTTAGCTGATCCCATGTTTTTAAATTTGTATTTTAGATGTTCAGAGGTGGTCTTATGTCTACAATTAGCCTGTGCTCCAGAAGACAACGAGAACTCTTAACTAAGCTACAGTCTACTGGATATAGTTTACGGTATCAGACGGAAACGCAAAGTATGTTGGTTTAAGATGGTTACAAGCTTCCTGGCTGTTTCAGGACTTTTGCGTAGGTGGGAAAATCCTCAGATGTTTATGAAAGTCGGTCTCAATGAATCTGTTTAGCTGGTTGCACTGGGCTTGTCTGCGTGTAGATGTAACACAGTTATACATAGTTTTACGTAGTAAAATTTACACAGTTACTTTTATACATAGCAGCACCAACACGCTGTTTTTTCTCCGTGAGTCGTTTTGGGATTTGTGCCCTCCTGGCCAAATACTTTCATTATAAAAGTCAAAACGTAATTTCTGTACGACTGCCTAGCAGTTTTGCAAATGCAAGCCATCCAACGTCTTCACTTAGTTATTTTTACTTCAATAATTCTATGCTACTCGTTGACCGTAAAACTACGTTTATTCCATTTTTGTATCACATCATCGTGCACTTTTCCTCGAGTTATTACGCATGTCATTTTGAAATTTGTGCTTTTGATTCTCAAATATGTGTGCCAGTCGTGACTAATGAATTGAATAAACTCTTAACATCTCACCGCGTATGCCTTCTTACCGTGACTGCCACATATTTGGTAGAGCTTTTGGCAAAGCTGAGCATGAACTAGAATAATATGTGGATTTTCAGTAGAATAGAAGGTTATCCATTGATTACTTCTTGAGTGACACAAACATGGATGCGTTTACAAAAATTTCTTCTGGAATTTGTTTGTTGTTCAGGAAACCACAACTTCGTTTGACACATTCAATTTCTTCCCAACTTCAAGTTGTTAGTTTATGTTCACGGTTGAAAAAATTTTGTTGACATCTATTCACGTGGCAGTATTTGGGGCAGATTGAATGTGATGTGGCAGTTACGTGCTTGCGTTCATCTATTATACCGAAACAGCAAGCAAGATAAGATAAGAGTCTTCACCCTGAGGCAACCATGTATGGTTACCGCAAACCATGAAGCAGCTACGACACTTGGCTGGGATTTCATCTAAAGATATGATGCTCTTGTATGTGGCAGACATTTAAATCTTTGTATACTTAACGCTTCAATTTTTTAACATGTAAGCATAATTGGTGGATGCTGTTCTGTATGGATGTTGACGAATTGAATGTCGATCTCGAGAATCTGATGATCATTTGTCTCGTAACTTTTACCCAAATTTTTTATTTCTCATGTTAGGAGCTTAAGAGCCGGCCGCAATAAAATCGCCTAAACAGGTGCCAAGATTGCTAGTGAACCGTCAGCTCAGCCGTATAAACAGAAACTCACGGATGTTTCAAGCTGGTTGACCACGTCTGACATCCAATGGCCGTTCAAGTTTCAGGCAAAAACAAAAATGATACTAACATATCAGTAACTCTGCGTTCAATTAACTCACTTTCTGGATTTTTGCTAGCTATATCCACAAGACGTGATATAATTCGTCATGTTTTACTCCTAAACGTATATCTTTCGTGATCTCAAAAAGAGGTGTTAAGATATTGAAAGAATAACACTGTGATACACTGGACAAAACAATTTCGGGCAGCACTGATTGCTACCAATTTGACTAGTCTAAAATTACCAAAGAAAAGTCAAATTGCACACCGTAATAGCCGTGATTTTTAGAATTTATGGGCTCACGCTTTGCATCTTATCCTGTTTCACTGACACCTACTTCGATTCTGCTCTCTTTAATCCAAAAGCCCACGAATCCTCCCCGGTGGTTCTAATGTGACCCTAGACGATCCAAATATGTACTGCCTTTAATCACAACCCGCTTATTCGTGCAACAGTTGTTTCAAACGTTTTTATCCGTGTGCAAATCTACGTGCTGACTGTCTAAAGAGATAGCTGAATATGTGCAGATGCATAAAGTTGAAGTCGTAAGTAAGATTTGTACGCGCGCTTTCAATCCAAATGTGGTTGGCCGAGTAGATGGTTTCAGGAATTGCCAAGTGACTCTTGAAATTAGTTTTTCCTTATTAGACACAAAAGACGCTTGGTTTGCTGATGATTCTTACTTAAGAGATGGCTGCATATTGACGTCAACAAAGTGCTCAAAACAATCACTTGATGTAGATAAATTGGATTAATTTTTAAAATAGAAAGTAGGTAGTGCTATTCTGAAGTATAATATTACATGCTGACATTAGAGAACCTTGTCCCAAGCACATCCTAGATTTGGTTGCAGTTTGCTTGCAAGTTCTGAGGCTAACTGTGTTAGAGATCGAAGTATCAAATGGAGACGCACCTTGGTTAAATATAAGGGTTGTTTTTATGGTATGGCTGTACAAAAATTATGACGATTTATTTGACGAAACGCTTACAACACTTTAGTGTGTGCGGTAATTTTGACGTTGTTCAACCTGAATAGTTCTGTGACCGGAAAATCGTGGAAGGCGGAGAGGATTTTATTTCACTATTGTCTAGGCCCGAAAATTAACTATCATATATATATATATATATATAAGCTTTAAGTGAATCAGAGCGGAACAGGATTAACCTGGGTGGTGGATAATAAGCACTTCACTAGGCCGAGTATCATAAACGCTTGTCAGTACCACTAAATCCCAAGGCGATACCGATTTCAATTCTGTGAGGGAGTTGCAGTCTATGCGGTGACAGCTACTGGTTGACACTCATACGTTTAACGTCGCTATATGTTATCATGAAAATTCTATAATATATATATATATATACATATATATAAGCTTTAAGTGAATCAGAGCGGAACAGGATTAACCTGGGTGGTGGATAATAAGCACTTCACTAGGCCGAGTATCATAAACGCTTGTCAGTACCACTAAATCCCAAGGCGATACCGATTTCAATTCTGTGAGGGAGTTGCAGTCTATGCGGTGACAGCTACTGGTTGACACTCATACGTTTAACGTCGCTATATGTTATCATGTTTTCTGATAGGAACCTCCCGAATACATTCACAATGAGGAATACGATAGCTGCACAATTATACCGACATTAGCTGCCTTGTGGACCTAAGTCAGGGAAGGAAAGTGTGCATCTACTCTCACATCCGCCCCTCGATCAAGAGCTGCTGACATCCAGTGGCAGTAAAAGTGTTAGCCTCAAAGCTTATATCGATTGCACAACAGTGTAGCACTAAGATAACTGCTCATACAAATGATAACAAATGTATCGAGAGAAAGAAGATAACATTGCCACTTCACATTCATCCGCTACTAATTCCATCTATCTTCCTCTGAGTATGGCGTCTGTTAATAATGGGTTAAAAGTTATACTCTCTAAGGAAATGCTTCGCCGAAATGCGCTTAATACTGGTTAAACTTTTGGGTGAATGCCCGTTAGGAGAAAGCACCTGCGTATATCAATAGTCATTTCGTGTAACCATCATCCGCTTTAGGGAAAATAGTACAAAGAAATCATTGGTTTTTTAATTGGTATACCTGTAATCTACTCTAAGTCCCAATGAGTTGATGATTGAAATCGATGGGAATTCGGTGGAAATTAAAACAGAGAGAACGTATAAAGTGTAGTTTGTCAGAGTGACACACTATCTTCGAAGGCATTATACTTTTTCTAAAAATCGTAACTCGCTAAAATGCCGCTGAATGAGTTGGTTGTTTGTAGCGGTTTGTCAAATTTAAAATTCGGCAAGAAACATGATCATTCAAATAATTAATGGCTTGCTGAATAATTTCTTCTTAATTTACAAACATATTTTCCGTTTTGATAAAATTCGACGTTTTTCAGAAGCACGCGTACGACAACAACTTAGATGGATTGTCATTGAAGGTCACAGACTTGTTTATTCGGCATATTTAATCGGCTTGAAAACGCAAAGTTTTCAGTTGAGTGACTCTGTTGTTGCTCAATGATGGCGCATCATTTTTAGCTTGAGTGTCGGGTGGCAAAACGAAGCGGAGCAGCGCAGCGCAACAGTGCACTTTGCAAATTGGATAATGAACCACATTCGAGTACATTCTGTAAATGAAAAACAATTCCAGTGGGACTTCAAGATGGTCTTCTAGATCTGGTTGTTATTTTCGATGAGATAAGCATATTTTTAAGCAAAACATCAACACTACAGATAGGACTAGAATAAAGTTTGCCTGTGAATATGCAGCCAATGAAGCACAGAGGCGAAGTTCTATAACTGTGCGTAGTCATCAAATGCGAAGTGGTGCATTAATAAAATTTATATAGATATATATAAATCGTCGTTCTCGAAAAAAAAACAAATAAAAAACGCACTTGGCAAGATGAAATTTACACGCAAAGACTGAATTCCTCAAAAACGTAGCATTTACTCAGCATTGTTTTGTGGAGTCTCATTTGTTAGTTGGTCAGTGGACCATAATAAAATTAAGTACGAGTCAACTTCGTGCATTTCGTTCCTCGATGAGCGAGTTTTGTAATAAATATGAGTATTTTCTTGCTTTATGAATTCATCCACACATCACTCTTGTCTGAACGGTCGTCCCCCTGTCCTGACGTAACTTTTCTGGTGAGTTCTCACCAGGAGGTCAACGGGACGACTGTTCAAACGAAAGCGACGAGAGCTTGAATGATAGATGTAATCTCACTGAATTTTGCAGCCGTTTTGTGATGTACCAAAACAACAATCTTGACTGGTAATAGTTCGAAGTGTCTTGCCTGGATTTATATCCTTATTAGTGAACAAAAATCAAGGAAATACTCTTTCTACATGGATTAGTGGGAAATGGGTCGAAAAGACCCAAATCAAGGGACCGTTTTATAAAACAAGGTGTGGTTGGTCTGGAAGTATAATCTTTGACGGAAACCCAAAGTGCAAACGCGAAATGACATTTGTTTTCACTCTTCTATCGCGGCTTCAAATGGTTTGCTTTTAGGGCCAGCTGCAACATGCTTTGTGAAAAGTTCCTGTCTTGACGTCTATGGCATCTTCCCAACAAAGACAAAACATCGGCTAATCCAACAAACTGTGGGTCATTGATAATGGTGTCGGTTATACTGATGGTTACATAGTTTTTAACCGGATATCTCGTCCTTATTTTGGTTTTAAATCTTGTTTGCTCATTCTCAGGGAATTTAAAACGTGAAATATAAGGAAGTTTGACAAGTTACTTGTTTTTGAACATGTTTGGATACCCATATATCTAACCCATTCGCAGAAGTAAACTGCCAAAGATTGCTCACGTTTCATCTCTTCCATAGCGCGAACTCTCGGAGTCGTCCATCACTTTCACTCTTTCTCCAATGCCGAAGATAAAGAAGATCGAAGGTTTACAAAAATTAGACCAATAAGCATTAGTATAACCTTAGTGATAGCTGAAACACACGATCATCAGCTGCTGTTGGCCAAACGGCTGTGTTCAACAACTGACCGGATGGTCTCGGTTTCGAATCTCCGAGTTTTGTGAGCTGCGCAATGTCGACGACCTCCAGTAAGGATAAAGTGGCTGTACAAATCTTCTTGGTTTTCAGTCTGGAATGGATTTTCTGACTGCTCGAAAGCACAAATAGACATAATCAAACATTCTCATATTAATGTTAAGTATAGCATTTGATTTTCTGCATTTCCTGTTTTGTCCTCTTGCTTCTGAATGAAATATTTTCATTTTTGCCGTAATATTCCTGAGGTTGAAAACCCGAGATCTGGCAGGGATGTATTAGTCTATACCTTCAAGAGAAGAATGGTCCTAGCATCATAATCCTTCTGGTAGACTGAACAATGCAGTGCGTGACGGTTCAATGTGTGAGAAAATCTGAAGCATTCGGCCTGCATAAATCAATGGAGAACTACTTGTTTTTAATTTGGGAAAACTAGGACGCTACTAAGAATGGGATTGATTTCGATTCAAAACGTTCAATCATCCAGCAAGCCGGTAATGTGTATTTTAGGGATGCGACCGTAGCGTCTAAAAGTGAATATTAGAAAAACTGTCCACGAGTTTGCACGGTTTCACCCGACACTTGGTCGAAATTTACGTGGTTGACGTTCGAGGCGCTGGGTAAACCTCTCAAGAGTGAACGCGTTTGCCTCTACGGACGTGATAATTCAAGTGCGTCCATATCTTTTTGGTAGAGTAAGAGTCACACACTCGTCTCGTATATCGGATATCCGGACTTGAGTCCCTGACAAGATCAAGGGTACGCATTGCTGACGTACTGTAAGAAGTCTTAAAATCAAGTCCAGTTTCTAGCCTATTTGGTGTGAACTCATGATAGTGGTTGCGCCAGGATTGGATCAGGGCGGTTTAAAGGAAGTTGGTGTTAACTCAAGTTATACAAATCGCGCGACCATACGCAATTTAAAGATAAGCGAATTAAAGTGAGAGAAACATTGAAACAGAAATGCACAGCACTCGGTCAGGCTGATTAAGTCCCGCGTAATAAAACACTGCCAGAACAATTTTTTCGTGTCATTCAGACAGCAGATCGCCGTTGCTGACTGATCTTGAATTGTGCATTAGTCAAAATATTTCTTTTGTAGTGCAGAAAAATAAAAAAATCTACTGGGAAGCACACTGGTAGGGAAAAATACCGCAATACTGTGCTGTTTCTGTTAATGAATGGAAGGATACCGTAACGTTGGCTGCTGTAGTTTTATGGCGTTACGACATTTCATGGTAAAAAGTTTAGGCTTTTCAAATCAAATTGAAGGCATGCTTAAATTGCACCGATGAAAATAGCGGAAATAATTTTGACAATAAGATACGCTTGATGAAATGCAGGGTACGTAACATAATGAGGACAAATCTAACTTACTCATGCGTGGACGAACATGACAAGTGACGTTCAGACCAGGTCGACTTTCGGCTAACTAATTCATTAAAATAATAAACTTAAAATATTCCGCCCATCCAGACTCCTCAGGTAGTGATATTTGCCATTATCGATAAGAGCACAATCACCCGTTATTTTGGACTGAGTTGAGAAAAACATTTCTCCATAACCGAACAATCACTTGGTTTGGTATACCAAAACGATGTGTTTATCGTAACAATTGAATCATACTCTTTGCTTACCGCAAGAATGTTGGAGTGAACTAACAAGCTACTCGAAGCCTGGCTAGCGGGAGGTGAGTAGCAGCCTCCGAGATCCCAGTCCAGGATATCGCTAAGTATCACTGGATGGAGAGCTGCATTGTCATCAGCTTGCTTAACAAATCAATGAAAGGATATAAAAGAATATATAAAAGAATATATGGTCGGCGATACCGAATAGGTGCAAACTGGCTGCTAAGACCAATGACCTTAGACCTTTGCTACTGTAGCATTGCAAACTGGTCCTAAAAATAGTATTTGTAGCTTTCGTTGAAATTGGACAACTAACAATTTGTGTCCTTTGACCAATTTGCACGACCTGTATCGTTCCTCCATAACGGTCGCGCCATATTTTGCCCACGAGAAATCAACTCGACTTATTCACCCAATTACTGTTACCGATTCATATTCATCATCAGGTATTCGCTAACGGCGATATCCCTAGAGGCTCAGAAAACGTATGCCACAAGTGGTTCAATTTGAGAATGTAATTACTACTCTGTGCTTCTTTGTTTCCTGGCACAGATTAACCATAGCGGCGGGATCACATTCACAATTCTGTTGTAGTTCATCTACTGCGAATATTCTGTTCTTCCGAGAGAATGTCTCAAAAAACGAAGGTATTTCATGTGATAAGTCTTCGTTTGCAGAGATGTTGGTAGCTGAACAACGTAACGCATGACTGTGTTCGAATGAGGGATACTGAGGCCACCTAGGTAAAAGCTACTCAAGATACGTATGATCCACGAGTAGAGAAAGAGTATGATGCTAGCGGAAATCTTCGGACTCACATCTTCTACGTGATTCCTCAGGCAGAAATTACATAAGGAAATACCTAATTTTAGTATCGAGAAATTCCTAATCTATGTCAATTTTATTCCTGTAACCGCTCTGTATACCATCATTTGTAGGGGCTAATTGACAGAGTTAACTCGATTTTGTTGCTTATTGAGTCCAAATATATAAATGAATCTTTTTGGACGACTTTTTGTTCGGCACTTTGTGAAAGGAAAGCATACATGAATGAGAAACCTTATGTGGTAAATTACTTAAGTTTTGTCGTTGCGACCCTGGGTCTGGAGTGAGTTGAACATACTCAGTGAGAATGATCGATCAATGAACGTGCCACCTGCTCGGTCACAGGAGCTGGCTCAATCTCGACCGGCCAATGGACACCCACCGATGCAACACCAAAGTTTCGATTAATGGCGAGTGTTCACCTATAAGAACTCAACCGAACTTTGCAAGTTTTTGTAAGTACTCCTTCACGATGAGATGTCTTCAAAAGCTTCAAGCCACCGGTCTTCGGTTAGTTGACGGACATCATAAAATCAGTCCAGTAAACCTTTTTTCTTGACTGAGGATCATGGAATGGATGCAGCCGAACTTTGATTGCATACTGTTAGAGATCGGCTTTTCCATTACAAATGGAACTCAGTTGTTGTTGTCCTCAACCGTATATAAAATATGTATAAGATTCACAGTTTTTCTGGTTGGTGTAAGTTATGTTCTAAGTAAAAGTACAAAATAGGTAGCCGAGTGTCGAGGAATCTAATCCTGAAACACCCCTTTATTCAATTCGTGATCATTTTCATAGAATAACCTCTATTATTCATTCCTAGAACCCCGGATTTTTACATTCTTCTTCGAGAGATTTGTGACAATACTGTTACTGGAGAAAACCTCAAATACCCGGTATCTCAATAGCACATCGAACAGTTCTGTAATCTATACTTGTGTAATCAGGGAATCCAGCAAAATATATCCTGGCAAAGTAACAACAGCACTGTGGTTAAATCATCGCCCAACAAATCACTGTGATTATTGCTTAAACTTGCATTTAGATTGTGTAAAGCACTAACGTAGCACTACCTATCATTCACGGAATTCACAAAAAAGATCACGTAATTACTGGCTCTTTGAGCGAGGAATGCTTGAACGCAATATTCACTCGTCGTGTGAAATACATTTTTCTTAAGATGGATAAAACATTCAGCACAGAGCATATTGGAGCCATGTATTCTGCAGTCATTTTTATGAATGACAGTACTGTGCTCAGGCTTCAAATTAAACGCAAGGCCTTTACAACAAAGCAACAAAATATTTACTGTTCTTAGGGGGAATGTGCCAACGGGAACACCGTTTAGTTTTACATTGTTTTTAAGCACTTGTGATTGGATGGGCATCGTTGACTTTCTCGTATCCAGTCTGTGCAGAATATTCGGTATTAGGGTATCGGTCGCCAAAATACACTCCGGATAACAGTAAAATAATTTGTCCTACCCAAACCACTTAAGGGGTCGACCAAGTCTGCCCGATAAGGCTCGAGCTCATGAGGTACGGATGCTGCCCTCGGGTCCATTAACATTACATTCTGATAAAAACCAGGTTGTATTTCGGCAAACCTCTTTTCACGTTTGCAAATTATTTTAGTTTTGGCTGGAGATCAAACTAAATTCCTGTTTATAATTTGGCTGAGTTAGTTGCGAATAGGTTTATAAACTTGAACTCTACATGTATAGCGGCAAATCAACTAACCAAGTGAGCCAAATGTCCAGTATTTATTTCTGTGTAGTGGATTTCTCAGCGAACCGAGATAGATTTCTACCCTAAAATCAACTCGAGGATTATCCCGCAACCTATATACTACCAAATGCACCTACTCAAATGGTCAAAGACGTTACTTTCATCCACTGGAATTCAGAATAGACCGTTTAACAACAAGCACTGGTGGATAAAGACATTAGTTTTCATCTCCTTGGGATGAATTTGTACAAAATAGGACGATGTAAACCAGAATTTCTCGTTATTGTGCTCGGTAGTTTCATTATTTTTATTAATCTTTATCCGAATCTATCATCATTTTCATGCAATCGATATTTCCTTTTACTCACGAAATTATACGGGTAAACACCAACCTTCTCCGATAGAAGCTTTGGAAGGGATAAACCTGCTTTTTTTCCAATCTACTATTACCGTCAATATTTGGTGTTATTCATCCGATCGTTCCATTGTTTCTAAGAATAACGAAGTTCTCCACTCTGATATCATCATGGAAAATCCATGCCCACTGTTGTCATTGCAACATCAATTGAACTGGTGGAACTTCAGAAAAACTACTAAAAACAAACAATAATTTACGAAATTTAATGATTAGAATAAACGAAACATGATTTGCAACTTAGAGACAGGTGGACAACAGTTTAGTTCTACCGGTTCTATACGTCGTATACGCTATTTCTTTAACTGAGTAATCTGCTTAAAGGTCGCCTCAGGCTTCAGTTTATTCTAATTGGAGATGTCGTAAACAAGAGACTCAGCTGGGATTCATTTGGGTCATTCGTTGAAACTAAATTATTTTGCAATTGAGTGAATTCCGCAAAGGTTTGATTTAAGCAGAACATGTTGAAAATGTGGCCCGGAAATTTTGCAGGAGAGTTCTGATACTGAACCGTCGGATTTAGTCGGGCATTCTTGCTAGTCGCAGTACTTCTGTGTTGTTCTGGGACGAACAAATTGTACAACGGGTGAAAACAGCAGAAAAAAATCCTCGCATAATGCGCCCGTGTAGAGGAAAATCTTACTGTGCACGTATCAGACGCAGCAAATTGGTGTGCGCATACAAATTCCTAAGCTTGTTTGCCTGTGTCATTTCCACTGTCAGTTTATCCTGCGTTCTGCTGGCGGACTTGGTGTGCTGGACTAACATTTACTCGGACAAGAAGAGGTTGAACAACGGAGTCCCATCTTACCCAGAAATCCAATTGTATTAGGTGGTTAGATTATTTGTTTTTTGCCTTATTTGTTTGACTTCAATATGACACACTGCAAATTGAGTGCCACGTCTAGTAAGACAAAGGGATTTGTGATTTTTTCACAATTGTTTCTGACTTCATCAAATCAAGCTCTCAGTCCTGACTGCATGACAATCACGACCATTGTTAAAGTTGAAAAACATTCCAAATTGATTATTGAAAATACATGAGTTTGTGGTTTCACCACGCAATATATCACACCAATCTAACCCGCTTTACTCCACACCCAATAGCATTGAGCCTTAAGATTGTAAATGATTCGGTTTTGTTCAAAACACTCTCATTCTTTGGGGAAATAAACACTATTTGGTTGGTTCATACAACGTTTTTGGAAGAACATAATTCTTTGGGCCTCTGCGCTGAAAATTGTAGCTGTGAAAACAAGTTTGTCACCAGTGACGCAAAGTAAGACCACTGGGTGTAAGTTTGATTGGATTTGCATTTTCAAGTGAAATAAGTGATTCATAAATTTGTTGGACGAGCCTCTGGCACCAGGGGTGCTAATCTCTGATGGTATCATTTTCCACTTGTATAAGAAAAGTATTTCTCCTGAGATGTGAAAATAAATGAAGTTTCATATTTATTGAAAAAAATATTCGTTTCTATTGTAAAAGCGCATCACTAAGGCCTTTCAAATTTCATGATCCAACAGCTCTGACAAAAATTACCTGAAATTTATCCGGAAAATCGGAAGTAAAATATAAAAAACAACAGAAAAAGCCTAAAATTCCTTCAAATTTGCACATTTCCTACAATAGTCTGGGCGTTGCTAGCTATCCGAAAGTCACTCACTTTTAAGGAATTGCAAACTCAGTTTTTTGTAGATCCAGACCGACTGTTGACGGGGGGGTTAACAAGGACAATGCATTTCTCCTGGGTAATGTGGTTGTGCATGGCAATAATTGGGACGCTCATTCCATATAAAATATCTCGCATCCTTACACGTCATTAAGAATATCTAGGTGTTTAATTTTTCGGTCATTTTGCCATGAAACCTTAATACGAAATGTTAGTGGTGCTGAGTTTTAGAATTTCAATTCAGAAGATATCGGACATATTCACGATGGACAGAACATTGACGATTGGATCGAACAGCCAGACTTATGAAACTTGCGCTCACGGGGGGCTCGTTTACGTACCGTTATGATATGGACTGTTGACATTTTACGCATAAGTTTAAACGGATAAACGGAATAAAATGAATTTGCGTTCCCGTTTTGAGGGGCGTTTTTCCAGGAGGTACAGTTTTTGCTTTTGCTTCTACTGCAATAATTATCGCAACATGGGTTGTTTTTACGT